TGTGCATGCCCAAAATTGATTGCTTTTATATCTTATTCGGTACTTATAGTTTAAGCACTAAAAAAAAAAAAAACTCCCCTTTCTAAGTATATAAAATGTTTACATATGTAATCATACACATAAAATATCTAACATATACAAAATATTATAGTAAGAACAAACAAAAAATAGCATGCAACCGTACTCACTCGTTTTATGTTTCTTCATACATGTAAGTGCTTTTCTGCCGGAATGTCGCTTTCTATGTTTATGTATACCTAATTTATAAAATTTTATGATTGTTTATGATTTAAAAAAATTGGCTTATAAGTGAATGAAAAGATTATTCTTGTTATTCTGTAATGTTGAAATGAATTTAAAATAATTAAATTACTAGACAAATATTTAAATTTAAAAAAAAATTCTAAACGTTTCATCAATTTGAAAAAAGAATTAATTAAATTAAATTTAGAAAAAAAATATAAATATCCAATAACAAATGTGTGTGTGTAATGAGAGGAGCCCGTTACTCTCACTGAAAAATAATAAAGTGAGAGGAGTTCGCCGTACATATAAAAAATATATTACATACGCATGCTACATGCCGCAAACACACTAAGGAATTCGTCTTTACCAACTGTATACTTAATCTTAATCATAAAATATGTTTTTATTAAATTTAAATATTTTATTTGTTATATAAATTTGGCAATCATTCACCAACATTTTATTTATTAGCTATTTTATTACGACGTTTCGACCATCACTAGGGCCATTTTCAAGTCTGGAAAATTATAAAGTCATTATTACTTAACATTTAACATTTGCAACAAATTTCACATAATTAACTTATCTAACGATCCATGTCATAACATTTTTAATACACATAGATTTTGTATACTTTTTTTTTATAAAATCCTTTCATGTACGTAACTTTACTCATTATAAACAATTTATTATTACCTTATTTAGTCCTCCATTAGGTATTTATTATTAATGTCGTATTAATTTTTCAGAGAAAAATTGAATTGTTCTAAATTTAAGCGTTTCCCCTACTTCATTTCTGGTGGGACTGACTTATATCATACCTTAAAATTTGTTATAAATGTTAAATGTTAACTAATAATGACATTACACTTTTCCTGACTTAAAAATGGCCCTAGTGATGGTCGAAACGTCGTAATAATATAGCTAATAAATAAAATGTTGGTGAATAATGGCCAAATTTATATAACAAATAAAACCTCAAGACACCAATTCTAGGAATAATGAACTGAAGAAGTTAAATATTTTAATTATTTTATTTATCTGATATTGAATTTACTTTTAAACTATCGAACAGTTGTAATGTGTAAGACCCAAATATTTAAAAAACCTAAATCCTTAACCAGGAAATAGATAAAATATTTATTTATAAGTTGCAATTATGTAAACAAATTAAATGAAATATCACAGAATGATGAAAACAGTAAAAATATAAATTCTAAATCTTCAGAACATAATGGTCATCACCATGTGAATTCCCAAGCAAAAAATACACATGCACGTGCAACGTCCAAAGTGCGCAGGGCCTATGGTTCATATGAAACATAATTTTGAATTTGTGAAATTAACTCATAATAAACATGTAATGTAGGAGAAATAAATAGTATGTATCATACGAAAAAAAAAATATTTTCTTAAAAGATCATTTCATAACTTAATACTGTTTGAGCTATGGACCACAGTGCATGCTTAGAAATTGTTCCACTAACCTCGCAGGACACGAGTGCTGCTCCGAAGTCGTCAAGATCTACTAGAAGTTCTCAGCTCTGTAACACCAATGAAAATAAAACAAAATCAATGATTTATAGGCATTTTAACTAATATAAATATATAAGTTATTTTATTTTCCAGCTAATTGTTTCTCTCATTCATACAGCTCTATGTCGTGGTATTGCCTATGCAGTAACTGTTAATGAAGCTTTTAACAAAAGACTGACTCATCCAAGAACTGGTTTAATTAACATATCGAGTTAAATAACTTCATCTAGGTTAACAAATTCCAGTGTTCAATGGATAATGTTGGTCAATAGGCGTCGTTCTTTCTTAACCCACCGCATATATATATATATATATATATATATATATAGCGCTGTCTTATTTTTCCGCATCTTATTTCCATGGAGGTATCATCATATTTCTTTTAAATATTGAAATAGCTTTTCTGAAATTATGAGTAAACTTATTTTAAAACTTGATTTCGTTTTGGTGACTGTTTTATTATAAATTACTTGTTTTATAAAAGCTTGACAGTAAAAATGAGCTATAGTCAAAGGATTCATATATGTTAGTGAAACGTTTTTAATATCATAAATCTCAAAACATTAAAAAAAAATAGTGATATATTATAATTTATTTAATGTCTGAAATCGATTTTTATTTTTATGTCTCCTTTGTCTTCGAATCTACAAACATTAAAATAAGTATTAATTAGTATATCCTCTGTATATTTTGCTTTTTTTTTCAATCCACAAATCTGATCAGGAAAAAAATTGATATTCCTAAACTTAATGGGACAAAAAAAAATAACATTAAAGTTTCAGGTATCTTAAAGCCATCTTACGAATGATTTTGTAATTTTAATGTGCAGCTCTCTCTTAACTATGCTATGTTAAAAATTATCATAGCTAGATAACAGCTTCTTGGTCTCAGTCTAAAGAATTTTGGAAACTTTATCTTCTATTTTATATTTAAATCTCTAAAATTAGATGAAAAAAACAGATAACTAATATCTTATAAAGATATAAAATAATAAGAACCAGGATATGGCTATGGAGATATTTCTTCTACCTTTTAATATGCGGAATCGATTGAATTGGAAATTACTTTGTACTTTTATACAAAAGATTTACGTTTCAGGAAGTTACGCTTTATACTTAATTGTTTAAAAAATATGTTTTTTTCTAGAAAAGAAGTCAAGAAATTAGAGGAAAGTGGATATAATTCTAAAATATTTAATTGGGAATAAACTCTATTATTAAATATATATTAATTCTAAAAGCTTAAAGTAAAAGATACGTTTTGTCAGATAATTTTATTCTCCATATCCTAAGTTACTATACAAATCGAATCCTTTCTTTTTCTTGGTTGAAGATAACTTGAAAATATTATTGAATAAAAAAAGGTACGTTTTTCCCTAATTAATTATCTGTAAGTTCACCTTTATTTGTTTATTTTAAAAAATATCATCATTTACTATTTCATTTGATAAGACCATGGATTCCTAAATACTTTTTTAACGCTAGTGAAATTTATGACTAAAAATTATAAATTGCATATTTAATACAATCGATAAAAAAAAAATTCTAAGCTCAATTTTCACAGAGAATAATTAAGGCTTTGAAATATTCAGCCTTTATACTATACTTTAAGGAACCTACTCAATCTGTATACTTCAATACTTCTATTTAAAATAAAATACGTTTTATCGTATTTTAGTATCTTGAAAGGAAAATATATTTTTTTTTTTTAATTGTATATGTCCATAATCTTGAAGAATGGCTTCAAAACTGGAGAATAAAATAAATTCCAATAAATCCCACCAAATTACCTTTACCCTTCGTCGTAAGCTAATGACTTTCTGTCCTACAGTTTCCTTTAACAATGCTCCACTTATCCCTGTTGAGCAAATCCGCTACCTAGGACTCGACCTGGACAAACGACTAACTTGGAATCCTCATACCAGACTGAAACGACAAGAAACCGCTCGACGTTTCCGATTACTTCAGCACTTACTAAAAAAACGCTCTAAACTTTCAATTAATTACAAAAGAGTCATATACATGACTATAATAAGGCCTATTTGGACTTACGGAGTTGAGCTATGGGGCTCCACTGAACCATCGAATTCGTCTCGTATCCAATCCTTACAATCCAAAATCCTTCGTAAAATCCTCAATGCTCCCTACTTTGTTACAAATAAAACAATCCATTACGACCTTAATATTTCTTATGTTTCAGATCTTGCCCAATCCAGATACCTATCCTTCCATAATAAACTTCAGAATCATCCCAACCCTCTCGTTTCTAACCTTGGTTCCTCTGCAATCCCTGATTACCCTCCGAGGCGTCTGAAAAGAAGATGGCCCCGTGAACTCCTAATGTAGACATATCATTAGAGTGCTATCATTGGGTAGTTACTCAACAAGTCTTTTTACGTCATTATATTGATATGTTCAAATTTACTAAATGTATTGCTTTAATACAGTTAATAACAATATTTGTTATTGTTATTGCGTCCTACAATGGAATATACGAAAACATGAATTTTAATATATTTATTTTGAAATACTGCTTAACAGGAAAAATACAAATATGACTCATTAATTTCGACATAAACAGTTTAAGTAAATTCACTGAAATTATTAAATATTCTTGGATTAATTATTGTATTTTATAATTGATTTTTTTTTTTTTAGGATTATAGCCTACCACGTATATATTTATAGAAAATATTTGACAAAGGCTTATATTTTATATCTTTCCAAGAAGATATCTAGAAAATATAGGTTCAATAAGTTTATTGAACCCTATCCTCTTAAGTTATTAATTCGATAAATAATGTAAGCGCTCCGATATAGATAGCGGGGCGGAGGTCAAACGGGATCGATGTGAGGCAGATATATCGATAGTGACAACATATCGACACCATCCATTAGAGGATAAAAGGCCTCAAGTCATTAAGAGCTGGGGGAGACAGGCGCATAATGAACGAGATAATTGCCCGCGTCACTGTCCCTCTCGTTAATGGCTCCGAATAATTTCGGCTTTTTAGTGTTAACACCACTTGACCCCTTTCTCTATGCAGCCTAAATCAAGGGCCTATACACGCCTATACGCGATGTCATTTGTGAAGATTGATAAACCTTCCACCCGTAAAACAAAATTGCCTGAGGTTATGGGTCTAAATATCTTGTACCATAAAAACCCATGACTGCAAAATCGCCTTGCGCTTGATATATAGGGGTGTAAGCAGACAGATGAGTATCCAGATCTTGTATGGAGCTAAAAACGGAAAATATGGTATAGAAGCATTGGAGAAAAGAAAAAGTCATATAAGGAGAATTTGAGAAAGAGAGAGTGACCAAGTAGAGTATTCTTCTATCTCCTCAAAGCGGATAAGAGTAAATCTACTCTCAATTCTGAAAATATCTCCAAATATAATATCTCAAAGTCTCCAAAACTGGTCCCATGGCCCACAAGTTCTTCCAATCCGTTTTATTATTTTTTTTTATTGCATGTTAAAATAAAATAAAAATTAGAAATTTAGGAAATTACTCACAGAAGAGTTTACTACAACATTTATTGCGTGGTTTATTTCTCTCAGAAAGCTCATTTAAGTAATGAAGTGTCGTTTATAGAACATGTTTCTTTTTTTTCATTATAAGCTATGGCTCGCGAAACTTAGATGTAGGTCTCAACCCGCGGAGCTTCGTGGAGATTTCAATGTGAACCGCGAGCCAGAAAATTAGAATACCCCTGTTCTACAGCATAGATTTTTTTTTTAATTAGAAGCCACAGTGCTAATAGAGGTGCAACATGTTTTTTATATTTTACACTTTCTCTTTTTATTTATCACTAAATACCCACTCCCATACACATATAATCAACTTACAATTTTCAAAAATTCGTTACCTAAATAATTAAATATTAATTATATCTATGCCTTGAATGATAAATATCGCTCAAAAACGTTCGGAAGCTGCTCGCGGCTTCTGAGGCCGCAGCTACGTCACCGAGGCCAGAACTTCGTCACCTATGCTCTATAACATAGACAGGGAACCTTTTTATTGTTTGAGACCGCATTAAGGCAATGCTGCCGGAGGGCACAACAATATGTTTATATTTTACTGTTCTTACTTTTTATTTGTCACTACATACACACACCGATATACATATATTCAACTTTCGCAACTTAAATAATTAAATATTAATTAATTCTAACACTAGATTTATAAATATCGCTCAAAAACGTTTGGAGGCCGCATACGACCACAGTTTCCTGTGCTCCAGATCAATCATAAAATGATGATAAAAATTAGTAGAAAGAGGCGTGTCAGTAAATATTAGTTTTTAGGTTAGATTATTATACCGAATCACCGTATATTTGTATTATCCAAAAGATATTCACAATACATATGCCTATATATTTACAATTTTTTACGTTATAATAATATGAAATAAAAATAGTAATTGGTAACGTAGCGGGCGTATAAGCACGTGGCATATTTGTTGTAAGGTTCTGGAACGGCCGCTGCAACCATCATGATGAAATTATGAGATTTGTCAAGTCGAGAAGGATTAGCCGGCCTAGACACGTTGAGAGAGCCAGCAAACAAATGGCTAAGAAAGTCACAAGAGAATCATCCCTAGGAAAAAGGAAGAGAAGGTGCCATTAGGAAAATATGGCAAAAGGACCTGGAAGGACTCAAGAAAGTTGGAGGAACAGACTGGAAAGGAAATAATCAGGATAGAACAATTAAATATCTCGATATAAATGAAATCAAGTAAATAATTATGGCTCTGTTGTCCCTGACCTATTGTCTTCAAAACATAGTTTTCTACGTCATCAGTTCCTAACTTCTCTAGCTCGTGTTACTTTTCTCGAATATTCTGAAATAAAAAGTAGGATATCATACAATCTCGTTTTCCTGTTAGCTTATTTTCAAATAGTTAAAACATTGATGGAACTGCTTAAATTGATTAACCTGTTGACCAAATAAGATGAAAAACGAATGACAATTACAAAAATCTGTATGATGATGGACCAAAAAATTATGTTATAATTATATATCTTGTCTTAATAAAATATTTTTATTAATATAAGATGTAATATAAAAATATTTTTCTCATTAATGATGGCGAAGTTGATTTTATAGTAAATGAAATAATGTTATTATTACTTGACATTTTCTTCCAAATAAAAGTATTTGTTATATAATAAATGGACTTTATTTATATACTCTTGTTTAAAGAGATTTATTTAGTGATGTATTTATTTGAAGATATAAATAAATACTTTTTTAAATAACTTGCCAGTTTTGATAGGATATAAGCACATACTGAGCTGTCGTGGCTCAGAACTGGGTCCTCTGTTGCTCCTCTGTTATGCCTATGTTGTACCTCTCCAGCCTATGAGTGGCCGACCTTCTACCTCTTAGATATACTGAAGTATACTTTACTATAAATAAAAATACATTCTTAGCACTCAGCTGTTGGTGCATATTTTAAAGTATTGTTTAAATATACAAAAAATCGGGTTTGGGCTATAATAAGACTTTTTTTAATTATTTCCATTTTATACTTTCTAATTTCTTTATTAAATTACGAAAATAAGTAATCAACGAAATACGTACAGGGGCAATTTGAATTTAAAATTAACCACTAGAGGAAAATATAAAATGTTGGCCAATTCCTTAATCTCTTATTTACTGAAGGCTAAAGCAGAAAAAAATAAAACACGAAATGACAACCTTAAAAAGTTAAATCTCTCCGCATAATCGAATACAAAAGTAATTTTGAATGAGAACTTTGTTAGGGGACTAAACTGGAGCTAAATAAAAAAATTGCGAGCCCTCCCCACCCAAAGCTCGGGGAAGAGGGGCGATGAAGAGAAAAAAGTATTCTCCTAATCTTTAGTTTAAAATTAAATTACTTCAGGAGGAGGCCGAGCTGGGGGGGAGGGGAGGGGAAGGCGAACCGAAGACAAATCTGGACGAGGCAGCCCCGGCGCCGATATATTGGCCGACTTAACCAACTTCAGCTCTTACTTTGCCAAAGTCCCCTCAACTCCAACAGAAAGGAGTTTTAGAATTGATGTCTGCTACAGGAGAGGAAATCTTCCAACTCACTCCTTCATAACTCACCTCCACCTGATATACCGCCTCTTCTAGTCTCTAGTTCCCTTTTAATCCGCTAGTCAAGCAGGATTTTGTAATCGTACATTTCTTTGGCACCTCAAAGCACACTTAAAATATGATTTTAAAAGTATTCTATTATATGTTATTATTTTTTTTCTCCTACAGTAATCAAGATCAGAAAATTTAATATTCGTGTGGGAGATTAAAAAAAACACAAATAATTTCTGCACAGGAAAGAAAATTCACTCGTATTCAACGTTTTAGACGGCGAGGAACAAATTCGTTTCTGCGTCAGTCTGTCTGTTATGTATGTAACTGTCATCACTTTCTCGAACTCCTTACGATCTGATTTAAGTCCACTCCTCTTGTCTAGATTTTTTATTTTTTAAATCTGTTAAATTGTAAAAATAAGTTGACTAAATTATTAAGCTGTTTGGCTTACGCGCTATTCTGCTCGGATGAAGACCTATAATGTGGGTCTACATCCAATAAATATTCAACAATTTGTTAGATGTTTTTGTGACCGACTCCAGAACGATTTCCTGCTTAAAAAATGTAAATAAATTTGTAATCAATAAATTTATGTTATACATAAATATATACATAAATTTGTGTTTTTTAAATTTGATTCTTGATAATTTTTATTGAGAGACTGATAAATTTAAAAATAAAATAATGGAAGTAAAGTATATTGTTTCATCGCTACTTCTTAAATTAATCTTAATATGGAATATTAGAAAAACAATTTATGCTCAGAATTAAAAATTCACTCGCATTTCACGTTTTAGATGTTCTGTATATTTTTTTCTTCCACCTCGCAGGAATTTATTTATTATACAAAATGCAATATATAAAAATATATATACAAAAAAAAAATTAATTTCCTTTTATTGCCCGAAGGCATTTTAAGGTAAAAGGGCTCTGCACGCTGTAGGCGTACTTTGCATCTATGGCCTGAGGACTTTTATTATACCACCCTGTATTTATTTATTTGTTTACAGTATTTACGAAATATTTACAATATATACAATAATTTAGTGGGTGTGAACTATAGAGCCCGAACCCCTTCCCTCGGAGAGAACATCTACCAAGGGGACTTTACCTTGCCACCTCCCAGGCCTGGGCGGCGGTGCTATTTCCTGGAAAAGCGGATTAGCACAGGCCTTCAGCCAATCAAAAGATTTGACGTGCCTTCGGCCTATGAACTCAGGCACCGATGAGAACTGAAGCTCCTCTCAGATCTTTACATTCTTTGCCCTTTGCAGGATGGTACCTCTGACTATTCGCCGAAGGATTGAGTTTCCATAACTCTGTAGTTTGTTGAGCGTGGACTTATACGGATAGCGGAGCAAGTTCTGGATCAGTCTGTCTGTAGTAATTGTAACTGTCGCCAATTTCTGAAATTCCTTAAGATCTAGTAAATGCCATATCTCCTCTATATCATCATTAAAAATCACTCCATTTTCATTACCTTATTACATTCCAAATATATGCTCTCGAATATTTAAATTTTTATTAAAGAATAAAATATTGATTAGATATGGATCACAAGAAAAAAAAAAAAAAAAAAAAAAAAAAAAAAAAAACAACCTTGGTTCTTTAGTTTGTAAGCAAGTACTGTTTCAAGGCCAATAGTAGTGCAGGGAGATGATTGGGCCAATATCACGTTCTATCGCCAGATTTTCCCCCCTAATTAATTATTTAAATATGAGTACCCACTTTATAGTGACTGGGTGTGTCCCAGAAGAGTCTACCATACCCACAATCAACCAACAAATGTGTAAAATTGATTCAATATATAAAGTTTAACGTTACACGAGTCTGCTTAATAATGTTTATTTTCTATTCTATTCAAAACCTTAAAATAAAATAAATTACAAAGTTGAGTAAAAATTCAAAGAATTCAAATAAAATAAATTGTAATGTAAAACGGCAAAATAAGATATAAAATAATTAATTTAATTAATATGTATACTTTTTTTTATTTTAGCACAAATTTTATTTACTTTTTTTTTGTAATTAAATCAATCTATCGTCTTTATCCTATTTTTTTAAATATATCGATGTTCAAATCGATCTTCAGTTCAATTCCATCCGTTCTGTTTCGTATAGATAGCATTCACTGAGGTTTTAATGAAAAAGTAAATTAATTTTAATGAAAATAAACTAATTCTCATTTTCCTAAAATAATTTTTATTTTTTTAATTTTACATTGTATTTGCCACTGCGTCGTATCACATCAAGCAATTGTAATGCCGTTTATTCTCTTTTTTTTTTTTTGGTCTTGTTATTTATTTATATTGTGAGCAAGAGATCTCTAGACCTCTGCCTTTTTTTTCGTCGTTGAGACTCACCAGGTAACGTGGAGGAAGAAAGAGATAAGACTTGTGGATTTGGATGATTGAGTGTAGAATAATGGGATGTTATGTATGTAGGATTTTACTTTTGGTATGTTCGTGTCATTTTGAAATGTTTGATTTAAAATAAACCAAGGAGCATTTAAGATTTTGCCATTGGAGCATTGAAGTATTTTGGATTTTGTGGTTTGATTTTTCTTCATGTGGACGTGTTTTGCGGAAACCCTAACTTTTGTTCCGCATGTTCAAATTGGTCTTAGTATTGTGTGGCAGATTAGTCGCTTGTTTTGTAATTGAAGTGGAGGTATGCACTCCAAAAGATGTAGTAGTTGTTTTTATCGTTTGGTCAATCCATATTTTTTTTTTTAATTAGGTGTGTATGTTTCAAGTGAGTTTTCTGTCAAATGTATTGTCCCAAACATAGTGCATATTTTTTTCATTTAACTAGGTTGTTGTCTCTATCTTACAAAAACCTGTAATTTGTATGTGTAATTAGTATCAGAGGTTTTAAAAGCTAATTTAAGTTGACCGTGAATTACTAAATAATGTAATAAGAGTGACTTTTTTAAAGGAATGTTTCCTTTTTCAGTAGCCGACTCCCATAAGTTACCAATACCTCTTATAGTTTGCGAATCATTTTTTTATCAAAAGATTCCTGTTTTCTCCGTTCAGGGAAACGGGCTAGGACAAGTACGGGAACAAAAGACGACACGAGGAAGGACAAGGATACAGAAGAGCATGAAATATAGACGGAGATGTTTAAGAGGCACAGATGAGAGAGCCATTTGTCAAAAGGTGAACGTTGAATAGAAGTTTCATTAGACCTTCCTTAGGCTGACTTAGATATAACATATAGATCTCACCTCCTCATTTATCTTCTCTTCTCTACAATTACAGTTCCTCTTCTTGTTTGCCTACTTCAACCGTTCGCTAAATATTGAACAAACTTGATATTGTTCCGTTCAAGTGGACGGTAGCTTTAACAAAATCCATAAAATAGTTTAAATATGGCTTAAATTGTTTATATCACATATGTTCTTCCCGTGAATTCTGATTTGCATACATATTAATAAATAACTATTTCAATTTTCTTTTTCATACTTGCTGCACACATATATACAGTTTAGTTTTGAATGGAAATGTGACCATTTCTGTCTATTAATTTTTGGTTAATCTTTTGCAAATTAATGATATTGAAAATAAAAAATAAAAAAAGAATGAATCCTATCTGTAACAAATGATTATAATAATATTAATTTATACTCAAATAAGCAATTTAGGCTTATTATATTATTTTTTTTTCACGGAGCGGCCACAGAGACCACGCGAATATCATGACATTTGGCCTCTTTTTGTTTTTAGTTTCTTTCCACTTCTCTCTCATTATCTCCGCGTGCCGCCGCTTTCTTTTCTCCGTCCACGCGACTCCCTTTCTCGAACTTTTCTTCTTAGCAAGAACCGTGATCTCCTTTAGTCTCTTACCATACCCCTCTCTGTCCAGACAGTCCCGGTCCGTTATTCCAAGTCTTTCCGTTTCTTCCTTCATCTGTCTGATGTATCCAAGCTTTTGTATCTACGGATTTTTTGGAATATTTCCTTATTAAGTCTTTCTGGGGCGATTCTTACCATATTTCCCTGGAATTTCAGTCTCCTGATCCTTATTTCCTTTCCTTATTATATTATTATTATTATTATATATATGCCAGTGATACAATTCTAATAACTCAAAAAATAAGATTAAGGATTTAAAGATTTCTGTAAAAGACTCATTTATCATAGAAACCATTTCAAAAATAGTGGTTAAGGACATCTAGGTTGTTAATAACATCTAGGAGGCATAGATTCATGATCTTGTTGTCATACTCTTGTAGGAGATCTGGAATTATCTCTTATTAACCCGCTTAGTTATAGTGCACTAGATGCCATTTTAACAGCCATTGTGAATAAAGTTCTAATTATAAAGCCTTTAATGTCTGCGTTTCCTTAACAAAAGAATTTTGCGTTCTAGGCCTTCAAGGGAAAGTAATTTCTTGGAGATACTAATAAGGAGAAACAAATAAATTTAAATTTCATATACAGAGACGGACGTCCCTTAAAATAAATTACAAAAATGATGCAGTCAGTTCTATTAAAAAATAATTATAAAAAAAAATTGGCATTCTTTCATCGTTTCTTTCGTTTGATATTCCTAAGTTTCTATCAGTGAACTATATCAGCATCAGCTGAAAAAATATTTTAATTATTATAATTGTATCAAGTATTCTATGTGATTTAAATCTTGGTTGTTACAAGTAATGGATAACCTTAGAGTTCATTTTATTTCACTAATATTGAAAATGAGGCATGAAGTACGTAAAATAAATACTCTATACTACTAAAAGTCAGATTCAAAATTGAGCCAAAGAATAAATTCCACCCCTGAGGATGTTATGCATAATCGTTTCTCTAACTCCATTTGAATTTTCCGAATGGAATACCTTTATGGAACTCAAAAAAAAAAAAACTCCTTTCAGCCGGTTTTATTGATGACTCTTCTTCTTCTCATAAATATTGGCAGGAAAATACATAAAAAGTATTGATTGAGCATCGAGTAAGCGAAGGAGGTAATGACGGTGTTTTAATTTACAATATTGCACAAGAAGAGTCTCGGCAATCAAATTGGCTGAAAGAAGTCCAATTTAAGTATGCCTTTTCGACGACACGTTCATCTGATGTCATAGGAATGGCCACGCATACCACGACCCTACACGACCAGTCATGAATGACAGTCACAAGAATGACAAGAATTTCTTCAATTATTATGGACCCTCAAGAGGGAACAATACTGAAAGGCATTAAGAATGAGGCTATAACAAATAGTTAGCGAAGTAATAAGTATTCAGAGAATCGGAAACTCATAAAGTTCTCAGAAAAGATTTTGAGTGAGTAATAACAGTAATATTAGCGTAATGGGGAAATTATAATTAATTCTTTTTTCCCTTAAACTTTCACTTTTTTCCTTTTCAGGTATGTTAAATGATTTCTATGGGTTTAAGTGTACATTATGATCTTTTAAGAATACTTATAAATTCTATACCTGGAAAAAAAAATTAATATGTAAATATAACCTATTTCATTAGGGAGTAGGCTCGTGGTATAACAAATAAGTATTTAGTGAAACTATTATATTTATTTTCAAAATAATTAATAAATCAATAATTATTTATTTATTTGTTTTGTTGCCTCTACCCCGCAGGAGAATCAGCAACACCTTTTGCTTGCAATTTGTTATAGAATTTTATAATTGTTAAAAATTTCAATTTTTTTTTCACTGCTTTTCATTGTCGTTAAACTTTTCTTTTAGGCTTTGTTCAATATTTTTTTCTTTTATATATATATATATATATATATATATATATATATATATATATTATATATATATATATATATATATATATATATATATATAAAGGGCAGTCTTGGATAATGTGTTGGACTGTTCATTGAAAAAAACATATCATCATTACTACGATAGCATAAGCTTCAGCGCACATTGAGGCAGAAAACCATAAAACCTGGCATAAATCCAAATATTTAATGATTATTATTGATACATTTTTATTGATGTTTGTACACAGTAGGTGTTTTTTAGTTACAGTCCAGAGGGAGTTATCACTAGATGATAATGAGGAAAGGTAGGAATTGTAGGATTGGGTTCTAAAGGTATCCAGTTTCTTTTATACCTTTTTGGAATAATAATTATACAATTTCCGGTCATCAGGATGCCTGGTTCTTTGCCAGAGGGCCCTAGATAAGGTCCAATAGGTCTTGGGGTAGAGGATTTATACTGAGGTGTTTTTTGGGACGATCAGGTGAGGATGCAGTCCAAACTGCTTGCTGGATCAGGGTAGTGAAGGAGTCCACTGCATCGTCAAGGTCTTCAGGTGTTTTTAAGGAAACTCTGAGGTCTATATTATCATCCAATATTTGATCCACCAATATTGCTAATCCAACGCAGGCACCGACACATTTTTCTGTTATCCCCTTCCTCACCTTTTATGCTATACAGGGTTTTCCCGGGCCAGGGGATAAGGGCGGAGGATTAATGCCAAAGTTAAAAACCCCACTGGCACTGGGACGCGAACTTTTACTCATTCTATTTTATATAACTTAGGTTATCAGGTTATCGGGCAACGCGTGGTGCAGTACACACGAGTTATGCCACTTGGCCTGATTATTATCGCATCAAAATTAACTTTGAAAGATCTTATAAAAAGTTGACTCCACGTCACTCCTAATCTGTTTACATATTCTTATCCATTGTCCATCTGTCTATGAAGGACAGGATAGAAATTTCGCTCGGATTAGCTCCCTTCCAACTTTTACATACTTTTTTTTTTTAATACAATTAACATCGAACTAGGAATAGTTTAGTAATGTTACTATTTTCATCTCAGTGGCCGTGGTTTGGATTATACTTAAACAATTATGGTTCTGTTGAAATTACAAATTGTAATAGAATATAGTTATAAAAAACAATAAATAAATAATTTCATCGGTCCAACACTTACATATATCTGAAGGTCAATAACTTCGGGTTTGTGGATGAAATCATCGGGATAATTGTGTTCCGAAGTAAAAAGTGCTGCGTTTAAAAAGTAACCCCACAACATTCAAGGTTTGATATCACGTTTTGATTATCAGCGAATACGAAAATGCGAAAGAGTTTCACATTTGCGAAATAAGTATTTGACTCTTCATGGTAACAAAATAAATCACGATCCCAAAAATTCCAGCATAGTTTGCATATACTTATTGTACCTAATCTGTATGTTTTTAATACTAAAATATATGGGAAGAAAAAAACAATTTTTCATTTGTTCGGTGTGTCCATAAATTATGTTATCCTCCATTCAGAAATAACTAATTTACATGAAATGAATGCTTCTGCGCACTTAAAATGTATTGTCATTTACGTCTTACTGTTAAACAATAACTAATTCTGGTCCTTTTCTATTTTATTTAGGGAATCTAAGGAATTCGAGACTACAAAAACTTAGTTGAAATTCAATAGAAACGAACAAGAAATAGACAATACAATTTTAATTAAATTGTTCCGTGCCTTCTACATTCCACATTCGTTATATTTTTAACGTTTATTTATATTTTTTTTTTTTGCTAAGTAGAATTTAATGAAATTGATATTAGGTAATCTATACACTATCATCAAAATTTTCTCCGACTCTGGATTGAATGAGCTGTTTTCAAACTATGAGTGAATAAAAAATATATGTTTCGAGATACGAAAGCGGGATTATTCTTTGAAAGTATCGGATAGAATTTGATAATACTGATTATTTGAACCATTGAAATTGGTTTTCAATTTAGATGCGATGGTTTTCGTATATATATATATATATATATGTGTGTGTGTGTGTGTGTGTGTGTGTGTAGTGGATAGAATTCAGTAAGATTGATACAACATCCTAATTTTACCAATAGCCGTCTTTTTTCCAACTTTAAACTAAATTTAATGAGCCGTTTCTGAAGTATTATCATAGCTAAGAAAATAAATTTGCGCCTGCGCAAGCAGAAGTAGAAGAAATTAATATGGAACCACCTAGGCACCAACCTACACAATCTCTGAAAATTTTATAAAAATCAGATAAGCAGTAGTAGGTAATATGACCTTCACATCAATTTGACTACAGGCAAACACCATATCAAATTTGATCTTGATGTATGAAACCTAAAACAATTGGAAATGTTAGATTATGGACACAGACACTTTTTTAACCTCCAGCAGAATACAAATCTTCCCTACCTTACTTAGTGAGGAAGCAATATACTTTGTTTCCATTATTTTTTTTTTCAGTTTATTAGTCTCTATATATATAAAATTAGAAGCATCTATAATAATATCAATAAAAATCGATCAGTTATCAAACATAAATTTAGTATTTTAAAGTGCATTTCAATTTTTTAGAAGGAAATTGTCCTGGAGTTGGTCACAAAAACCTCAAATAATTATTGATTATTTATGGGATACTCACCGACATTATAGGAGACCATCAGACAGACGACATCATCATCAGAGCAGAATAGCGTGTTATCCAAACAACTTAATAATTTTGTCTACCTATTTTTAAAAATCTAAATAATTAATTGGGTTTTTTTTTTCAGAGGCAAGGCTGTGTTCATGGTGAAGAGCTAGCCTACGTATTTGGAGCTCCTCTTGTTGGCGGAATGTCTCACTTTGCAAGGAATTATACTAAAGCAGAAGTTTTGCTCTCTGAGGCCACAATGATGTACTGGAGCAACTTTGCTAGGACAGGGTAAATTAGTACTTAGCTATTACTTACATTATTATAAGTTGAATCAGTTTTCAACAAATTATAATAAATTTAAATTTAATTGTTTTTTAATTATGCCTATTAAATTAATTTATTTGGAGTTTAAAGATAAAACTAAAATTTATTTTAATTTATAGCAATCCGAATGAACCTCAGGAGTCAGATGTTAGTCATGTTTTACGTCAGGAAAGGAGCAGGTTCAAAAATATTGAATGGGCTCCTTATGAAAGAGTCCTTAAAAAATATTTAAGCTTAGGTAAGTTTTTCTGAAATAAGTCATGAATATTAACTAATGAAATAATTAATACTGTATATAATAAATAAAACCTTTTATGATTTATTAACTTCAATATTAATTTTTCTTTATGTAACAATTAATGTTAGCTACTAAATTATCAATTATGATACTATCATGTCAACATTCTTGGCTTGTTCTGTGTCAGGTCAAAAAAAAACTTTTTTTCTTTTTTTTAAATCAACGTAATTATAATAATAGATCCATGTAATGCATGAAGTTTCTGACAACAGAGAAAAAACAGAAAGTTGATGAAAAAGAATATCTGTGAGTAGGTAGAGTATCCTATGTACATTAAAGTAGGGTATGTGTAATTTATATCTATACAAATTATGGTATCAAAACTATACTTTTAAAAATGGACCTCAAAACTATATATGAAGATTTGTCTAAGGTATATTTCTTCCATATTAATATACACGTTTTTGCATCTTGGCTATGTAAAATGAAGGTCATTTTCATACTAAAACTAATAATAGAGCTCTTTGTTCATGCCAAACCAAATACTTATCTTGAAGAAATGTTAATACTGATCGCAACCAGAAGTACCTTCTACTGAAATATATGGTTGATTATTATGATTTCCTTATCATGTATATATCTATTACAGACTGCACCAATGACAGAAATCTGGATATAGCTGCTAGAATATGTTGACACTTTAAATTACAGGATTTTAAGGCATTAACAAAAGAACCAAAAAAACACTACTAGGTATTCACTGAGAAGTTAAAGATGTTTTTATAATTTATGTTGCTATTTGGAAGCTCTTCTCCAATATTTACTGTATATTTACTAAATAGAAGCAGTATAGTGGATGATCAATTGTTCTTAGCACAGATCGCTGGAATTGCAGACGATACTAGTGCTAAGATACTAGTGCAACTTTTAAATGTGAAAATATGAACTGTTAAGCCAATATTGGAATTGGTTGATGAGCTGTCTACTGATCCTCTGAACCTCTTGGGTAATCATGACTACTGGTACAGGTACTTGTGCAGGAAACAAGTCAGGCAAGTGGGTCTATCATGGTCCTTTTTGCCAACATCTGATGGCTACCTTGAGGTTACCACCACGTACTTAACAGAGTGAGAACGTCATGATCCATTTCCTTGGGCCACCTAGAAATGAAAAGTATCCAACCCAGGTAGGAAACGAACCCACAACATTCAGAACCGGGCACTCTGGGACACTCCAACATGCTCGGCCATCTCATCCTCAATCACGACTAGAAAGCAGTAACAGTTAACAGATATTGCAAAATTAATTGAATTTTCAATAGTTATATTGCTACAAAAGTGGAAGAATGTAAACTAATCTTTTAAAAAACTTGAATATATATATATATATATATATATATATATATATATATCAATGTCTATGACATGTAGTAGGCATACATTCATGGTCGGCTTTAGCTGAAAATGTACCTTGAGTAAAAATGAAAGAAATTATCTTTAATATTAACTCTAGAAATGTTATTTTCAATTAGAAAAAAAATCTGTACCATTTAAACTTTATATCTTTCTCTTAAAATTTTTTATTAAAATTTGAAATGTAATGAAACATGATGCCTTTCTAAAGGCTAAAAAATAACACCCCATATTCAGAACACACTGCAGTTGACACAGGATACAAATTCTAAATAGAACTAATTGTTTGCCTTCAGAGAATCTCCTTTGAGTAAAACTATTCCTTATTTGTCTCTTTAGTAGCAAATGAGTTAATGAATCTTGGAAATTATACCTGTGAGACAACAATATATTCTAATCAGGATAAAGCTGCTTTCATATAAATAAATAAATTAGCCGCTCCAATATCCAAGCTGTTTATAAAATGCAATACAAGCTATTTATACAAAGCTACTCAAATGATTTTCATTTCTCATGATCAAAGACCTGAGGAGTAAGCAAGTTTCATTCCGAGAAGTTCTTTCAGTATATATATAATGTTATGCTCCCATTGAGAGTATCATTTCTACATATATTTTATAATTTACATAATTAAATAAGACATCATTAATATTATCCCTGAAAGTTTCTGGAAGAGTGTCATTTAGTTTATAAATTATGGATAGAATATTTTAACTACCAAAATATTTCATTACCTAAACATAGGATAATGGAATGATTTTTCAAGACTTCTTGGATATTTTTCATGATATATGAAATCAACCTACAATCTTTTTCAAAATTAATGTTCAGCTCATAAGGCTAATTACTAATTTTAAGGTTATTACTGAGTTCATTTATAATTTTATCTTAAAAAGTGTAATTTGAGTGATGGATGAACTGGTGATTACAGTATGTTTTCGATTTATGAAATTTGTCACAATATTTGCACAGCTAACCTATTATTTATTGCATAAGTAACCGTTGCTATTGTTTTTCTAGATTTGAAGCCAAAACTGAAAAACCATTACAGGGCACATAGGCTGTCATTCTGGTTAAACTTAGTTCCAGACTTACATAAGCCTGGTGGTGATGATGTTCCTCCTTCTCATCACTTATTACACGATGAAGTGAAGGGCCAGGTAAATTATGATATCTAAATATTAAAATTTCTGTAGTGATTCAATTAACATGAAAAAAATAAATAAAAAAATTGTGAGATTGAGAATAGGAGGGATGCTCTAAATTTTCGTAGAATGTATGTAAGGAAAACTTATTATTTCATAAAATATGAGCTTAAAGATGTAAATTACATAAAATATTAACAACTTTTGAAAAATATTTTTAGGGCCCAATCACAACATCAAAGCATGGACCAGACCCGACTGCTAGTGTTGGATTTGACATATATCCTTCAGTTCTAGCAGATCACAATTCTAGCTTAGCTCAACCTCCCTTGGTTGTTGTCGCTCCATCTTCAAGTGAAAGAGGGAACCATGAACAAGAAGATGGCTTTACAGCCTATTCTACTGCTCTTAGTGCGATCATTGCAATAGGTAAGGTCATATAAATATAAAGTTGAGGTTAAACATGAAGGGCAAATGGTTGTAATTAGAACGTTGTTACAAATGTTCAGTGATAGATCTGAGAAAATATTTTTATTTTTATACATGTTTCAAGTTGCTGTTATAAAATATATGCTCCCACCTGTATTTTAAAGTTTAATGTTATTATTCCTTCTCCTCTGAAATTTTATTTCCATGAATGAAGCAGTTCTACTTCAACTGACGTGGTTTAAAAGGTATTAAAAGTTTTCTATTGCTCTTTTTATTATTTATGAACTAAAAAGTAATTTAAAACATATAGTTGTCTAAGAATCTTCTTACGGTCTCTTATAATTATTCCCCTGCAAGTATAACTACTGAGTTTTATTTAAATACTTTTTTTTTTAATATCTCTCTACCAATATCCGGTTTAAAACATTCCTGATAAGCATATTCATCGCATATTTAGCCCGTATAAATTGCACATTACTGATATCTGAATATCATAAATAAAGCTGTCAATTTTGTTGTTTTCTTAAAATGTTAAATGTAAACATTAAAACTGAAACTTACGAAACACTGTGAGGAGTGAATATATTATATTCTAAGTGGCAATCGAACAAATTACAGTTCTGAGCATCAGACTTTGCTAAGGAGTCATCAGAATACTGAATTAGATGCAATTTCTCTTGAATCAACAAACCTTGAAATTCATTTCATTGCAGTAACTACCACAGATTGTTTTAATAATTTTCATGACAGACTGACTCTAAATTTCAATCCACTGCCACAAACCCATATGTTCTGCCCAAAAGACTAACTGGGGTGCTGGCAAAGAAACTTGCTAAATTGAGCTATTTTCTGTGTCATTTCACTTTTGTGTTTTTCCTTATAATTTTTATTTTTCCTCCTTTAGCTTTTACTGCAATAGACGGCAACTTTATATCTTGCCAAAAATATCTATACTTAACTAAAATAAATAAAAGTTATTTTTAGTTTTAATAATTGTTTTTATAAATTAAATCAAATTGATGTTTGGTTGCAGTGCTGATCTGTGCTAAACCTGTTATTCTCATATTTAGAAAAAAGTATGATACAATGTTATGAAATTTGTATGATTAATTTCTTTGGTGACTGTAAAATATACAATTTGTTTTCCATTTTCACATTTTATTTTATAAATCACACCTAGCTACTTGTCTCAATATTTTGATTTGGTTAGTTAAATGTGAACTTAATTAATTTATTATTAAATAAACCTAGTTGTATGTTTTTCAAATGATGTATATTAGATTTTTTTTTCTTCCTACAGGTTGTTCTCTATTACTGCTTAATGCCTTAGTTTTTGCTGGTGTTTACTACAGAAGAGACAAACGACAGGCTCAAAATGAACCAGCACATGCGGCTGCAAAGAAAAGAAATGAAAATGGTGGTCCAATGGCAAATATATGTGTTACTGGAGGTATCTTTTAACACTAGTTTATGTTACAATCATAAATTTATTATTTTTAAATACATTAATTATTGTTATAAATGTATATATCCATATAACTTTATAGAGTTCCAGTTTGAATATGTTTTCATGTACTAGCATATTATAATTATTTTTCCTTTCACATAATTTTAATAACAACAAAAATTATATTTCACAATTTACTGATTGTTGTTATCTATGAGTTACAATTTAAATTATTATTTAATAATACAATATTATTATTTAATAATACTGTAGGCCTCATATACACAATTATTTTCAACCACTTGACAATGTAATATAACCTTATCACTGATGATAGCCTTCTTAAATAATTCAGACACTGGAATCACCAATTGCACTAACTCACTTTTCAATCTCAGCTCATTTCACTCACTATATACCAAATTGAACTGAACTTATGAACAGTAGACCAATGACTAAACACTAATCTCAGCCTGGTGAGTTTAAATTAACTTTTAAACTTCAAAGTTCCAAGTTGAAGGCAAATCTCGACCAGATTGCAGCAATTCTAGATATTAGCATTAGCTATTTCACAACTTTTGCCACTCAAATTAAATTATTATTTGAAAGTAAATTAAATACCTAAAAAATTGATGTGATATATATATATGTTCATACTAAAGAGCCAATCGGTTAAAGATGATTAGTGACAGTTTTGAAAAATTTAGGTATTAAGTGATTTGTTTTAATATATTTTATTGAATCATATACTTTGTCCTTTTAGTCACATGAATTAGACAAAATTAGACATTTAATGAATAAATAAAAAAAGAATCATTGGAGATAAAAACATCCTATTTATAAATATAAACTTTATTCAAGTAAGTTTCTCAAAGTACATCTTTAACACACTTTGGAGAAAAGTTCTAGAAGTAAATTTTTGCAAAGTATGCACACAAGGCTATTTCCATTCCTATAGCCCAGTTATGGCGTACCAGTAACTGCTGAGTACATATTTTTAGCCTCTGCCAGGCACTGAGGCTTAATCTACTGAAGGCTGTATATTCTGATGGAAAGCGAATTCTCTCAACTGATGACTAAAATGAACTAATTGCACTTTAAGAACTTTGCGTGTGGGTGAAAGGAAGGTGTAAGTCTAATTCACTTCTCCAAGGGTAGGAAAGAAGAAACCATACCTGGGAGGCCACCAAAGAAAACAGTGGCAATCAACATGTAATGAGATTCATTTGTAGTTATGTAATGTTATGCAAGCATGTGTATTATCTTTCTGTTGCAAACACCATATTGTCTTAAAGCTAGGGTAAGATGGAAAAAAATAAATAATAATAATCGAAAAATAAGGCCACATTCACATTGTAAAAACCCTCCCTACATCCTGGAACTCCTTACTCAGCGCTCCTCTATTCACTCTCTCAATACTAGGTCTCAACCTATTGACTTATGTATTCCCTCCCATAAAACTTCCTCCTTCAGCAAATCCTTCGTCATTTGTGCTACTTCCTTATGGAACTCACTTCCTACCTCCATGCGTCAATCCTTGTCCACAAATTCCTTCAAAAAAATCCTGTTCAAACACCTACTCCATATTAAAACTTCCTCTAACATGTAAAATTACTTGCATCTATACAATGTTTAATTTCAATCCATTGCACCAACAGTATATTAGTTGGTATTTTTATTATGTCAGACTAAGATACATAAATTTGTAACTCTGTTATTATTCTTAGGGGACAATCCATAAATAAGGCCACATTGAGTTAGATTTGGTACCCAATCCATATGATATAGTATAAGGAGACTAGCTGATTTGATTTTCTTCAAAACGTCCCAAATTGTCAACTTAAAAAATACAAAAATGTTGAGCTCCTGCCCTGAGGGTATGAGAATTTTTTAAAACAATGGCCAATATAAAAAATTTAAGAAGCCAAATAAGATTACTTTTTACTAATATTACTCTTTGTAATGCCTCAGGGTTCTTAAGAAAGAAAATAAAGATGCATAATCATGATGTTATGATTTTGACCAATTATGTGATGATGTGATTTACAAATATGATATTGTAAACACACAGACTTAGATGAAAAAGACTTGTACAAAATTTGGAAATTGAAACAAAAAATGGAAAAATCGCTATTTTTGAAGAAAATTATCTTCCAAACTGTGTCAACTGAGGTGAAGATTTGTTGGCACCTCTCGACTTTTGAACTTTATGGTTTTTCTAAGAGCTTAGCACTACACATGATAGTCTGTAAGAAATAAAATAATATAGTTTCATCACTGCAATACTGAAAGAGGCCAAAGAACATTTGCACACAACCACAGTTTCCACGAAAAATCAAAATTGGAATTCTTGCCAACTAACTCTTTTCACCTTTACCTAGTATTTAAAACTAAAGTTATCAGAGATATACTCTTTCAACAGACATTTTCAATGATTGTCAATTTCCAATAGCCCCAGACAAAATGGGTTAACTGACTTTATTTTAATTTAAACTTCTTAATTCAGTCTGAAATCTATTAATTTATGTATGACTGAATGTGAAAACACAATTCTTAAGTTATATTATTTATTTTATTTTGACATATTTTCAAAAAGTCTGATAATTATTTCTATTTTTAATTACATTGTAATACATTTGAATATTTAAAACTGTTGAAGGTGCAACTGAGCTACTTCAGATAATGGAAACGAGGCCGACTGCAGCAATGCCTGCTCCAATCCTTAAGCAGAGTTCAGAAATCACATCAGGGAGCGCAACTCTCCCACGAGCACCACCTCCTCCCAAAACTCCTCGCCCACCAGAGTCCCAGCCTCTCCTTCCCCACACAGCCACGCTCGGCAGGAAACCCAAACAACCACTGCCAGAAGAGTTGAGGGTGTGACATCCGGAGGAAGGCCAGATTCAAGGCTTAGCGGATGACCTCAATCGGATCTGCGACCAGCTCAATAAGAACAAAGATGATGGTGAGCTTTTCCATGTCTGAGATGGATCTGACCTTCCTCGGCAATATGAAAGGGTCTAAAAACTCAATTTGTGATCCGGACTGTTTAGTGTTTCAAGGAGTTATTATAAGATTAATTATAACAGGGACCGATAATATTCCTAAATATCTTATTAATGTCTCTTTATGGTTATTAAACTTTATTAAAATTGAAAAGATGAAAATCGTTGAGATGACTTTAGGACATTTTTATATATATAAATGTGTATCAACTGACTAGATTTTTACTAAGTATCTTGTATTACAGGAAGCGTGTAATTATTGATTAGTATAAAATTTTGAGTTGGTTTGGATACATTTTAATTAAAAGATCTATTCTTATTATTAATTAAGTAAATTTGTTATATTTTAGTTAAGCTCTCTTGATTAGTTCGTTAACAAGAAAATAATGAATTATTTTAACCCATAGAAAATGGAAATGTATAAAAGTTTAAAACAAAAGAATTTTATTATGTATGACAATGTATTTAATCATCTTCTGGTTTAGAGAATTCTTTCTAATTGTAATTTTATGATAGTGGTTACATATATACGTTTTTTAACAAATTTAAAAACTCAATTTGTTAAAACAACGTAATGATTGTTATGATGGGTTCATAATTAATTCACACAGCAGTTTTTATTTATATAAATTAATGTTGGCATAAATAATATAGGTAAATAGGTCTAGAGAAATTGTAAACTACATCCTCGTTTTCGTCTTTAAAATAACTTAAAAGTGTGAAGCTTTCAAAATTATTTATTCATAAACGATGCTCTATATTGTTCTTAACTGATCCCCCTTGAACTATCTATTTGTTAAAAACCAAATGTTGAATATTTATATATTTATAAGGTGTTACACAAGAATAAGAGAATTTCAGTTCAATCGAATTGTAATATTATATTATAAGAAAAAAGAAGGATCTAAAATAAATCATAACATAAATAGGTGTTAATGTAAGTTATAAATGTAAATGCTGACTGATTATTAAAAGCTATTGAAATTTGTATAAGACAACAGGTAGGGGGGTTAGAAATATATGTTACCACAAGAACTATTTACGAACTTTTCTTTTGAGTGTAAAAATAGTTTTGTATATCAAATTGTGAAAATTTGTTGAGGAGCGGAGGTGTGAAATAAGTTGATTTATTTATTTTTTAATTTAAATGATTTTATTTTAATGTTAAACATCTTTCTAAAAGTTATTATGAATTTATTTATTTTTTTTTAATTTTCGCGCATAATTTTGACCAAAATTGTAACTATTTTAGGTGTATCCAAAATTCACAACTTCTGTGAATTGACTCATACAGGCCTATTTTTATTAAGAAATATAATAATAGATGAAAGGTGATTAGATACTCAGTCAAATAACTTGAATAGGTGTAATATCTATTAGAATTAAACATCAAACCATGTATTTTGATTTTTTTGTAATGAAAATTAGTTTATTATATTTTGATGTTTTATTTAAAAAAAGATTTTTGATTTCAAAATATTTGTAATTCTCTTCACTGTTATTTAGATAGATGTAATTATTTTTATAAAGAGTATTTAAAAGTATCAATTTATAATTAAAATAATATTTGTATAAAATCTTAAATTTATGCTTTACCATGAAATATTTTTATGTTATTTTGCTGTTTCCTGATTAAGAGTATTGCTGAAAAAGAGAGTTACTTTTTTTAAATTATTTCGATAGAACTCATAACAGCTTTACTTATTTATTCGTAAAATTGTCTTGTTATAAATACATTGTAATGTTAAGTACTAGACAAGGACAGTTCTAAAAATGTATTTGTTGCACCGTGGCCATGATATCCTCTATTTCCATTGTACATAATTAATTCACACACATAAGCCACTTTAGAAATATTAATACTGAGCTTCCTTCTTGACGAGGTATGGAACTTTTAATATTATGGATTCACAATATGAATGATAAATTAACATTTTCAATTGTTGATGTTTGTCAGTTCAGTGATGGTTTTTTGAGTGTCAGAATGTAGAATATTTCTACTTGGCTGTGAAGGCATTTTAATGGGAATCAATTCTTCCTTAACAGTTGCTTTGTAAATAATATAATGTAAAAATACTAATTAAAAATGATTGATACCTACCTGTCATTTTTTTAAATGTTTGACCATATAAAAATAATTATATGAATATTGAGCATTATAATTATGAATGTTTTTAATTTTATTTATAAAAAAATAAATTAAATAAACTTAAAAGCAATTGCTTTGTAGCAGACAGAAATCATCTTCTCCAAAAGATTGCTTTCTTCACACTTTTCTTTTTCTCTTAACATTACAGACCATGTAGATCTTTTGCCGCCTTAACAAGCCTGCTCCGTCTCTGCCTGTCTTAACAACTTCTTTCCATTTTTAAGCATGCAGCTCTATTGCATCTTCATTGATTATACCTATCCATCTGTTTTTTTTCCTTCCATGTGGTTCTTTGCCTTCTACTGAGGCAATCATTGCTGCTCCGGCTTCCGGATGGATTGCTACAAGCTACATGACCCGCCCATCTTAACCTCCGTGCCTTCATATCATGAGATATGATTGACCAGTTTCTATAATCAGTTCTCTATTTGGCTTTCTTCTCCATGTATTAATACTGTGATCCCAAATTGCTCCAGTTATCGTGTGGAGGATTTTTCTCTCAAATCTTTCAACATTTTTTTGTAGGGTCCTGGTTAGTGCCCTGGTCTCACAGTCACATATTAGAACTGGCTTTATAATAGCATTTTACACCCTTAATTTTGGATTTATTGAGATTTTTCGTGATTTAAGTACCCTTGAGAGGGAGAAGAAAGCTCTGTTTGCGCTAGTTATACGCTGGTCTATTTCTGTCCGTTGGTCATTTGTTAAAATTTTGTAGCCAAGTTATTTGAATTTTTCTACTATCGGGAATGATTTTCCTTTTACGAAGATCCTGTTATTGGGATGGAATTTTCAGGCTAATTGTCATATATTTTGTTTTGTCTTAATTTACTTGTAGGCCAATCTGCTCTGCCTCTCTTATCAGAGGCTTAGCAAGTTTCTCAATGTTCTCTTGACTACTTCCAAGAACAGCTATATCGTCTGCTTTCTCCACACTGAAAGGTGTCAATTGAAGAGAGAAATGCCAGGGCTTCAAATGAAGTTTAAACTTTCATTTTTAATCAGTTTTAGTATCACTGAAATCTTTAATTTCAATTTTTTTTTTAAGTTATTCTGGGGCTAGGATTTTTTTCCTTGCAACTTTTTTTATAGAACTTTTATTAAAAAAAAATTATTTAAAAGTTTAGTCAAATATGCTAAAAATCGGATCTAAAAAATGACTTTTATTCTTAACTTGTCAAACAAATGATGCATAAGAATTATGTGAAATTCATTTAAGACAAAATATAACTCTAATCTAAGCCAAATTACTTCTATTTTATTTCACATTTAATACTTTTTTTTTTAGAACTAAAATAAATACAATTTAAATCCTTACCATTAACCTGGAACTTTATTACAAAAAAATTCCTCAGATATTTTGCTTAAATAACTTTTTTCCTTTAAAAGAAACTGTTAAAATGGAACTTTTTAAAAAGTTTCAATCTATGAGAGATACTTTTAATACATACATTTTATACTAGGTTTCATTAATTAATTTATTTATTTTATTGTTGTTATTCCCTAAGGCAAATTACTGCTAATAACAAATAAAATTCAGTAATAAAAAGTAGTTTTCAGGAGTATAAATGATATTTTTATACGCTAAAAACCTAACCTAAGCGTCTCTTCCTTTGTTATGTAAATGGACAAAACCATTACAGTTCTAGAGTTATTCCCTTCATCATTCAAACCAAAGTATGAATTCAATAAAAATGCCTATAATTTAAATCAGGTTCCTATGATACAAACAATTCTCCAAACGGCTTGAAACTATCAGAATATTTATATTTAATCTATTTTTTTTTAGAAATAGTTATAATATTTAGTTATTTCAAATAAAATATCACTTTACTTTAACAGTGAAGATATTAACCATATGACCTTTTTAGAATAATCTCCATGAAGGGTGACTTAGAAGGTTTAATTTTATGAAAGACAAAAAAATCTGAGATTTTCAATTAAAATTCATGTTTATTTAATTCTAAAAATAGATTAAATATTCGGAGAATTGTTTGTATCATAGGATTCTGTCTTATTTGCTGTTAAAATAATCCTTCATTACTCCTCAACTAAACAAATGATAGATTATACTTTCAATCTCTTTTAGCTTTAATTACTTTCAAGTTTCATAAATAAAAAATTGTCTTCCATTTCGTATCTCAAAATTTAGTTCCATTTACCATAAAACTACGAATACTTGTAATTGCTTTTAAAAATGTGAAATGTGTTGAATCTGTACCAAATTAGAATTTTTCTTTCAATAATGAGTTATTATATATCTCGTCCTTCAAAGTAGTCTAAATATGCAATCCAAAACAGATCAGAGTTGGGATCCACATCTGAAATATTGGGGTGGAAATCTAAGTTCCTTGAATTGTCACAATTGAAGTGGCAAAGCTTGCTGCAATTTTTTCTTCCTACTTAAATAGTTTTATATAAATTTAAATGAAGAAATATAAAATTATTTAGTATAATTTAGAACTCTTTGATTAGTTTTTAAAAACTCTGTATCACTACAACACATGAAGTGTCTTGGATTCAGTACTTTGTTAGGAGTACTGTTTCAAGACCAATGATTATGAAAGGAGGTGAACAGGCCAGGATCACGCTCAACTGTCAGGTTTTTCCTCTTAATTAAGAGGGAAAATGAGGTTGAGTGTATCCCAGGACGATCTCAAACACCAGTGTTAATTCATGGATGATGAAACATAATAAATAATTATGTACCATCGTGGGTTTCAAACCTGGGCCTCTTTAATTAGTTAATTTCCTGTACTTGTTTTATTTGTCAAAAACTGCTTATGAATAAATTTATTAATATCTATGTATCATATATTTTAGTCAAACAAAATTTTATCATGGTGGCATTATTTATAGACTTGATTAGTTCCAGTTTTTTAATTTATTTTTTTTAATTTGTATCAATGCTACATATACAGTGTTATAATATTTAAGTTATAATTATACCACTTAATTTATTTATTATTAATTTTTATAATTATTTTAAAAAAAATTCAAATGACTTGATATTTTCATATTAAAATCTAAATTGTATAGCTTTAAGACTTATAATATCAAATTTAACATTAAAAACAATATATTTTCAAATTTAATTTTTAAAAAATTTTGTAGTGTACATATGGCCATTATCATTTCAATTAACTTCCATATTTTCACATATTTTTTATTTTATAAATTTACTAATACATGCTGGTTAACGTTTTGGAGCAACAACCCCCATCTTCTGGATCATTGTTTAATTGTCAACTTAAATAA